ACTAATGCTTGAACAATGAATAAATTTGTGCTTGAAAATCTGAAGTTTATTTGTTCATTCACAAGAAAGAAGAATGAAGATGGCCAAAAAATAATTAAAAAAAAAAGGAAAGAAGAATGAAGGGAGTTGGATCTGAGTTCTTTATGTGTTATCTTAATGGGTTTTAATATAAATTTTGATTTGATCTTTATGACGTGCTTGCAATTACACGTATTGAAGCATGGAGCCAGAACTGCGAAATGTTTATGCACCTAGACATGAATACAGAAATATATCCCATGCATGTAGGTGAAAAATTTACAATGGCATTAGCTCGCACATTGAATATGGATGGAACGCCAGATACCTGCTATCATGCTCAAGTATTTTTCTGCCACCGTTGATTTTCTCTCACACATCCAGGTATTACCCTATACTCCAATCTCCTGCTGTCGATTTTTCGTTCTCTCATTTGTAATTTTGGTAAATTTGAATATCAAAATTTAGGGTTCTAAAATTGAATGTAAGTTGCATAATCTTGAGGAGACTCTACAGCTTTGATAGATTTTATTTGAATCCCATTTATATCTTTCACTGGATGTTAATTGGTTGCTGAAGCTGAATTGTTTTTATTTTTATTTGGGCGGTCGGTGTCCAATTGTTTATTTTCCAGAGCATTGTACTTTTTTTTTTTAAAAAAAAAGGGTATTGAGTATGAGCAGGTAAGTAATTTGGCAGTGAAGTTCTTAGCTTTGTTATTGAAAGCATGGACTTAGATTTGGGACCTTTTTGATCTTTACTGGGCAAATCATTTGGTGATTATCAGAGAACACGAAGCTAACTGAACCAAGTTTCTTTGGTTGCGGCACGCGGTTTCGTTTGTTTAGAACTTATCAATTCTAGCCCAATGTTCTGTAGTCTGTATCTTTTTAGTTTCCAAGGTCCTGGGTTACCATTCTCCCTTTACCCACCTCTCGGTTGCAGTAGAATACACTATTCTGGCTCATTCATAGAATGATGTTTGTTGGGATTAGGCCCAATAACCATGTCGGGCCGCATGATACAGGCCCAACCGCACATCCACTGGCCCAAAATGATGGGACATGCTCGCGTGGGCAGTGAAACGTGGGCAAATGAGTTACCTACATGTGTTGATGCATGTCAGCATTTGGGGCTATAAATACCCCCCAACTACCAACAATGAAGGTAATTAATCTCTACGCTTCTCTCTCTACAATTACTCCTTGAGAGCCTCTCTCTCTAGAATATTGAGTATTGCTGACTTGAGCGTCGGAATGTCTTTCCCGAGGAAACATCCTCGGGATTTACAAGTGTAGAAGCAGCTGAGGATTTCAACAGTGTTGGACTGTGAAGTTGCCCAAACATTTGGCGCCGTTTGTGGGAAGTTCGAACAAGAAGTTGTGTGACTTAACCTGTTGAAAGGCAAAATGGTCCGTACTTTTACGGGAGGTCGCCCTCCAAGAAATGAAATGGACGAACAAGAGGACACTCACGTGTCTGAGCTCGGCTTGAATGACTTTAGGCCAATGCCAAGAAATCTTTTTGTTGGGGGAGCCGAACAGGATCACCTAAGTGAAACAGATGATGAAAGAACACCAACTGGGTATGCAACCCAGCCTGAACAGTTCCAAGTTCCAACAGGAACAAGATCAAGACCTTCTAGACTATACAATTCACAGCGTGAACGACCTGAAAGGTTAACAGAACCTGCTCGGACAACAGAGCTCGAAGAGAGAACCAGAGTTCTCGAAATAGCAATGGGTAAAATCCTTGCCCGTCTAATTCCTGATGACCCCTTGATTCCTTTGCTGAACAGGGATGCACAACCGGCTGCGGTTGTTGCAACTCGAAACTCCCCCGCTCTAAGCAACATAGTAGTGCCGACCAGGCCAAGGGGAAGCGGGAAGCTAAACCTCAAGCCCAGCTCGTCCAAATATAGTGAAGAACTGATGAGAAAGAACGCGGACCTTGAAAGACAGTTGCGAGATGTACAAAAGTCTATTGACGAGCTGAAAAGTCCCAGATCGCACCAACAGACCCTAGATTTGGATTGTGCTCCACTAAACCTATCCATCACAGCAGAACCCTATCAAGAGGGATTCAAGATTCCCTACCTAGAGACATGATGGCTCGGGTGACCCAGATGAACATCTGCACACCTATCAAGCCATCATGAGAATCCAAAATGCCAATGATGCCATGATGTGCAAAGTGTTCCCAGCGACACTAAAATCAACAGCCAGGAGATGGTATCACAAGTTCCCTAGACATTCTATAGACTCATACTCCCAGCTCGCCAAGCTATTCTCCAACAAATTCGCGAGCCAGAGAGAGATCAAACGCACAGCAACTGAGCTGATGCAAGGTAATCAAAAGGAAGGGGAATCTCTAAAGGACTACATGCAGCGATTCAACAAAGCCACTCTGGACATTGATAACGTCCCAGACACCATCTGCTTGTCCGCCTTGCTACATGGTTTGAAGCGTGGCCGGTTCCTGGACAACCTCCTAGAAAACCCACCGAGGACTTGGAACGAAGTGAATGACAGGTCGGCTAGCTTCATATTATCAGAAGACTTCTAGTCGTCCAAGCGACGAGCTGACGATAAGCAAAGCAAAAGCTAGGAACAGCCACCGAGAAGGGAAGAGAAGAAGAAACAGATTGTCAGCGAGCAGTGGGGGAAGCTCGCTAACTTCCCAAGTATGCCAACTACATTCCTTTAACCTTGCCTAGGTCTTAAATCCTTGTGCAAATACAACACTGGGTTAGAAGACCTCCACCCCCACTATATGAGTCCCCAAGGGCGGACAAGAGCAAGCATTGTGACTATCATCGTACTTATGGTCACAACACAAAAGACTGCCAACACTTGAAGGACGAGCTGGAGTTCCTAGCTCGCAATGGGAAACTAGAAGGATATGTTCAGAAGCCCCGTGCCCAGCAACCAACTCAAACTCATTTTGTATAGGGGTATGACCGACCTCAGGGGCAGAGGTACCAGCTTGGTGGGGCACAGGATGTATATCAGGACAATCAATATCCTTCGGAGCAAGGCAGGGCGTACAGAGGGTGTTCGTTCAACAGGAGAGGACAGGGGCAGAGAGTTGCTGCCCAGAACCAAAAAGATAAGAAAGGGGTAGGCTATACTGGGATACCCTCGCCCTCGGGTACAATAAACATGATATCAAGGTGGTGTTCACTCTGGGGGCCAAAGCGCTCGAGCCCGCAAGGCATATACCTGACAGGTGATGATTGTCAACAAAAATAGACCCTTCAAGCGGCCGTTTGAGGAGGCAGAATGGGAGAATACGCCTATCACATTCAGCCGGGCAGATTACAAGCGAGCAGAAGGAAAGCCTGACATTATGATGCCCCATGCAGATCCCTTTGTGGCAACGGTTCATATAGGCAATCATAATGTCAATAAGGTGTTTATTGATATTGGCAGCTCGCTAGATATTTTATATTGGAGCTGTTTTCAAAAGATGCAGCTGAATCCGGGCTCGCTGCAGAAGTATGAAAGGCCCATATACGGGTTTGATAATCAGCCCATCCCAGTCGAGGGAGTTATTACTCTTCCTATATATGTAGGCTCAGAACCACGCTTCAGGATGGCTTCCGTCACCTTCCTGGTCGTTAAGATGGAATCAGCTTTCAATGCTATATTAGGAAGAGCCACCTTGTGCGAGCTGAAGGCTGTCGTTTCACAACCCCATCTCTGCATGAAATTCCCAACTCCTCAAGGGGTAGGAGTGCTTAGAGGAAATCAAAAGATGGTCAGGGCCTGCTATCAAGATACTTTCAAGAAGGTTGAGCTCGCTGCTGCCCCTTCAGACTCCGAAAATCGTAGACCAACCCAGCTCGGTCAGCAGACGATGAGCATATCAGATATCGAGCACCGACTTGATGGTGTCGAGCAGAAAGCAGAGCCAGTGCAGCCAGTAGAAACAGTTCCTCTAAACCCAGATGTGCTAGAAAGGATGGTTAAGGTCAGCACTAAGCTCACAGAAGAGGAGCATGCAAAGCTTTTGGAGTTTTTGAGGAGTAATCAGGATGTGTTTGAGTGGACTACGGATGAAATGCCTGGCATCCCAGCGGAGTTGACAGTCCACAAGCTCAGCACGGACGCCACCAGAAGGCCGGTGGTGCAAAAACGCCGCCTTTTTGGCCTCGAGAAGCAAGCTGTCATAGACGAAGAGATACAAAAGTTGCTACAGGCAGGCTTCATCAGAAGAGTGGAGTACTCTGAGTGGGTGTCCAATCTCGTGCTCGTGAAAAAACCAAATGGCAAATGGAGGATGTGCATTGACTTCACCAACTTAAATGAGGCATGTCCAAAAGACCCTCATCCCTTGCCAAATGTGGAAAAATTAGTAGACCGGGCAGCTGGACACGAACGGATGAGCTTTCTTGATGCCAGCTCAGGTTATCACCAGGTCCAACTGTTGTTAGATGACCAGGAAAAAACAGCCTTTTACGCTGGTGATGCAATCTACTACTATGTGATGATGCCATTTGACCTGAAGAATGCTGGTGCTACATATCAGAAACTGGTGCAAATCATCTTTAAGCTCCAGATTGGCAGAAACATAGAAGTATATGTGGATGACATGATAGTCACCAGTGTACGAGCTGAAGATCACATAGGCGACCTGAGTGAGACTTTTCAAAACCTGCGCAGAGCTCAAATGAAGTTAAATCCCCTGAAATGCACATTTGCTATAGAGTCAGGAAAATTCCTAAAGTACGTGGTATCCAAGAAAGGAATTTAAGTAAATCCAGAGAAGGTTTAGGCCGTTCAGCAGATGGAATCGCCCAGGACTGTCAAAGAGGTGTAGCGTTTGATAGGCCGTATAGCTGCGCTACATAGGTTCATAGCCAGGTCAGCCGACAGATGCCTCCCATTCTTCAAAGCCCTTCGAGAACCTAAGAACTTTCAATGGACCGATGAGTGTCAAAGGGCGTTTGACGAGCTCAAACAATATCTGGCATCAGCACCTCTACTGTCGAAGCCCATGGAAAGGGAGAGTTTATACATGTACTTGGGGGTTACAAAAGAGGCAGTGAGCTCAGTTCTGCTCAGGGAGAAGAATAAGAATCAGAAGCCTATCTGCTATGTGAGCAAAGTTTTACAAGGTGCCGAGCAGAAATACCCACTAGTAGAAAAGGCTGCTTTTGCTTTGGTCTGCATAGCTCGTAAGCTGAGAGCTTACTTTCAGTCTCATCAGATTGTTGTCTATACTGATTTCCCGCTGAGGAAGATATTGCAGAAGCTAGAACTCTCAGGCTGGCTTATCGGATGGAGCGTCGAGCTGAGTGAGTACGACCTCAAATTTCAGCCGCGCACGACTATAAAAGGCCAGGCTGCGGCAGATTTCTTGGTGGAATGCGTCTCGACGACTGTGAAAGAAAAGACACCTAAACACCCAGTTTGGGTTTTGTATGTAGACGGAGCTGCAAATATTGAAGGATCGGGTGCTGGAGCTGTGTTGCTGGGTCTTGACGGTTTTAAATCCGAGCATGCGCTGAGGTTCAAGTTCCAGACAACTAACAATGCTGCAGAATATGAAGCACTCATTTATGGTTTGAAACTGGCATCCGAGCTGAAGGTACAGAGCATTCAGATTTTTAGTGATTCTCAGCTCGTTGTATGCCAGGTAAATGGCAGCTGTGAAGTTAGGGATCCCCAGCTTGGTCGTTATACCTATGTAGTCAACAGATTGAAGTCAAGATTTGCTTCCTTTCAGATCGACAAGATACCCAGAGCAGATAACCAACGAGCTGACGAACTGTCAAAGTTAGCTTCCTCGCAAGAGACCAACCCTCATAGGTCAATAATACTGGAGGTACTTGATGCTCCTAGCTACACCGACTTCACAATCGAGTGTCAGCTGCTTAGCACAAATCCCTTTTTACCGAGTTGGACTACCCTACTCATAAATTATCTGTAAAGTGGCGAGTTACCTGAAGATTTGTCCGTTGCGAAATTGATTAAACGTAGGGTGGCACATTTCACTTTGTTAGATAACCAGCTCTACAAACGAGCAGCCTCAATGCCCCTACTACGCTGCCTTACTCCTTACGAAGCTGAATACGCTGTAAGGGAAGTTCACGAGGGAGTATGTGGCATGCACATCGATGGCAAAACTTTAGCTCAGAAACTCCTGAGGCATGGTTATTACTGGCCCACTATGGTTGAGGACACGCAGAACTATGTTAAAAAATGTCCGACCTGCCAGTTCAATGCTGATGATATACACATGCCAGGTATCTGAGCCTGTTCTGAAGATCATGCAAACTTCCTGTTTGTCTATAAACTGAGCATAAGTATCTTCCTTGAAACAGGGGAAATGCTATCATCTCTCACGTCTCCCTGGCCCTTTGCTTAATGGGGTGTCGACCTGCTCGGCCCTTTCATCAAAGGCAAAGGAGGCTGCACTTTCCTGGTCGTTGCAGTGGATTACTTCACTAAGTGGATAGAAGATAAACCATTGTCCACGACAACAGAAAGGAAAATAGAAGAATTCTTGTTCAATTCAATATTGTGCAGGTATTCTTTGATGACTTAGGTCATAAATAAATTATATGCAAACGTGGTTTGTAGCTCAGCTCGGTCATCTGTGTGCAGGTTCGGCATACCTAAGCAGATTATCGCCGACAATGGGCCACAGTTCCGAGCAGCAACACTGAGATCGTTTTGTAACGACTATGGCATTGAGCTCGCCTTGACATCCGTGTATACTCCACAGTCTAACGGACAAGCTGAGTCCGCCAATAAAATCGTCTTGCGAGGCCTCAAGACACGTGTTTTAGCTGCACATTCTAATTGGGTTGACGAGCTCAATAAAGTGCTCTGGTCTTGTCGTACTACACCCAGCTCGGCCACGGGTGAAACCCCTTTCAGCCTGGCCTATAAAGCTGAGGCCGTCATCCCAAGAGAGGTTGGATCGCCATCTGATCGAGCAGGCTAGCATGACGATCTCAACAATGAGCAACTGTTGAGAGAAAACTTAGATTTCGTGGAAGAGGTCAGGGAGATGTCTAGAATAAGAAACATGGCGCATCAAAGTCGTGTTGCAAAATTTTACAATAAAAGAGTTCGAGCTCGCCAGTTTCAAGTCGGCGATCTGGTTCTACGCAAAGCTGGATTGACGAATGCTTACTCGCACATGGGCAAGCTCGCGCCTAACTGGGAAGGACCTTATATGGTTATTTCTATTCAACGACCTGGATCTTACCAGCTGGCAGATTTACAAGGTTGTCTATTACCATTTATTTGGAGCATACAGAATCTTAGAAAGTTCTACAGCTAACATATATGTTACTAGTGTTCAGATCGTTACTAATTATTTGTAAACGATGATTGACAGAAAATTTACCACAGAAATTTCCAAAGAAAAGTTTCGAATTTGTATTCAATCAATTAGTTTTACATATGGAGTGCATATTCTAAATAAGTTCATTGATTTACACAAAAATGCAAGAACAGTACACAACAATTTCAAAAGAGAAAGTTCAAATTGTATTTCATCAATGATTCATTTACAATTGGAGTACATAATGGATAATTTCATTGATTAATACAAAAAGAAACACAAAAGAAAAAGTAAAAGCCCTAAGCTAATCATCCGTCAGGTCGACGGGGATGGATGCGTCATTTGGGGCAGTAGCAGGTCGAGTTGATGATGACCGATCTGGTGGAGGGAGAGCAGGTGAGAGAGCAGGAGAAGAGGCTGGTGCGGGGTGAGACCGAGCAGAGGGGGGAGTCCTGGAAGGCTCTACATGCACGTCATGGGGGTTTGCCACCCAAGCGTCAAAACTTGGCAACCCCTCCGTGTCCTCCCCCTCTTCGATGACAGAAGGGGGCCACACGGGTAGCCCCTCTTCGTTGAGCTCCCATCTTAGCCTCACCCGGGTGTCAGCTGGTGGGGCGAGGCTCTTTCCTTCTGCGTTAATCTCCTCGCCTTCAAAGAAAGCCAGCTCGCCGATAGGAAAATCAGCCTGCACTTGCAAAACCTTCCCACGAACCTCGTTGAAAATGTCCGTGGTGGTGTTGGCAGAGGCAACCGCAACGGCGTCCTGGAACATCTCTGCTCCGACCAGCCATTCAGCTCCCTGTGCACGGGCAAAGCAAATGTCGTGCTGGTAAAGTCTCTTGGTGCTTTCCAGGGACGCCTCTGCTTGTGCAACGTGCTGGTCGGCTTGTGACACCCTCTCCCTTAAGGCGCTCAGCTCGTGCAGAGTCTTCTCTCTTTTAGACTCTGCCTTCTTAGCCCGGTCCTCTGCACGGTCGGTCTCCTCCTTAGCAGCTTGAATGCCACTTTCCTTCTCCACCTGAGCCCGCTGGAGCTCCTCCTTCAGCTCGTCTACCTTTCGGGCCAACTGGTCAGCTCGGCTCTCTACTGATGCGGCCCGGTTAGCCATTTCTGAGCTCTGCAAGCGGCTGACCTCATCAACCAGGCTGGCCTTCTCAGAAGCCAACTGCTTGCAGTTGTGTTCCAACTCGAGGTTTTGCACCCGCGCTCCCGTTCGTACTCGAAAAGTGCGACAGTGTAGCTGAACGCCTACAACACGTGTTCGCTCGTCAGTTTGTAGCAAAAACGTGATAAAATACAATAATGAGCTCAGCAAGTGTACTTACATCCATTAGCTTGATCAGAGCAGCATGTCCCCCATGTTGCTGAATATGCCCCTTCGCGCGCAGCCGGTCTGCAGGGGGCACAAAGTTCTGCATACCCTACAGCATGGCAGCATGGCACTCAGTTCGTACGTAACTGAAGCCATCTGGGTATGCAATCCTAAGCCCCGCTACAGACGACAAGGCTGGTGTCTGCTCGGCGACCTCATGAGCTGAAGCTGGGGGCACGTTGCCCGGTCGTGCAGCAACCGCCTGCGCAGGCTGCGAGCTGGTACTCGTCCTCCACCGGGTGAGTGGAACGTCATCCTCTGCGTCAGAGTCCTCCCTTGTGCACCTTCTAGAGCTGGATGGCGCAGACTCAACTCTCTGCTCAGCACGAGGCCTTTGTGCCGAGCTGGAACTTCGATGCTGGGAGCTGCGCCCTGGTGCAGCAGGTGGCCGCTCGTCAAAGCGCGACTGATGCTGCGAGCAGGACCTAGCTCCCCGGCCCTTCGAGCCTTATGCTCGTTGACGTTGCCTCTCAAGGATGCTGCTCATTTCTCCTGCACAAACAAAAGCATAAGACTCAGATCGGCTAGAAACTATACTACTCTATAAAGATATACCTTGAGAGTGTAGGTTTGCCACATTGACAAACCCAAGAAGCGCGATCTGTTCCGGGGTAACCAAGGCTTCCAAATCCACCAGCCCCCTCGCCTTCACATAATCTAGCAGCTGGTTCTTCAGGTCGACGTCACCAGCTGTCAGCTGTGGATAGTTCATGTAGCTGTTTGGCGTGCGCCACTCTGACAGGCGGGCGGCGAGCTCGTTACTGATTCGTTCTGGTTGTGTGTCCCGAACGAAGACGAACTGTCTCATCCACCTCGCCACCTTGTTCCTTATGTTGCTGAATATCATCATCTTCTCTCTCCCCGAGATGTAGTACCATCTCGTTCCACTGGTGGACGGGCACAAATGGCACAGAAAGAGCTACCTAAAGACCACTGCCTTAGCCGGCATCCCCAACCTTTCGCACAACAGCATAAAGCCTATGATAAACTTTAGGTTATATCCCCGATTCAGTCCCCCAACTTTCATTTTTGAACTAAAACTACCCTCGAACTTCAAAAAGTACTAAAAAAATCCTTGAACTTCAATTTTTGGGACCAATTT